AAATTAATTAAAAAAATTAAAATTAAAAAATTGAAGTCTTTCTAGATAAATAAAGTAATAAATTTTGTGAGAAGTATTTTGAAGAAATCATGAGCATTTTATATACTAATTTTTTTACGATAAATAAAATTATCTTGTACTTTTCTCAGAATGATGAATGTTATCGACCTTTAATCGAAACAAAATATATATAAAATTAGTTTCGATAGATTACATCGAGAGCTGTATTATTGAGAACATGTAGGGACTCAACTTGTTTGTCTGTTGTGTTTTCTTGGACCCCAAAAACCAACTCACAAATATTGCCGCGATAGGCTCCCGCGAGTTCTATTTTCTCCCTTTTTCTTAGCGCTGTTTTCGCCGATGTCGCCAAAATAAAAGGGCGAATAAATAGACGGTAGAGAAGAGAGAAAAAAAGGGAACGAAAGAGAGATGAATGGCAACAACAAGTTATCGTAAAGTAATCGGAGGCATGGGAATCAACATCTGCTGTGATTTGCTCTTATTCGTTTGTCTACCTTGTTTTCGCGAGTAATGCATTCAAAACATTCTACTTCCATTTGGATTAAAGTTTAATATCATTTGCGCAAACAAATGTATAGACAAAAAATATATGTTAGTTGCACTTTTATCTTGAAATTATAAAAATACAAAAAATTATAATCTGAAATTTAATTTGTTAAGATATGCCACATGTTTTCGCATAAAATATATTAAATATGAACGAAAATAATTCGTCAGCTAAAATCGCCAAATAATACAAAAAGCGCAAAAGAAAAGGAACCACCCTCGGTCTATAAATGAATTTCTTTCGGTCGTCTATCGTTTATAAATTCGCCTTGGATTCCAATGCGGACTTGTCGAAGCAATCGAGAGAAGGTCAGACCGAATCCTCAGTGCATTCTTGCAGTCTCTACCTCTCTGCATTACGTAATACCTTGAAACGACCTTGCGTTCCATCGTAAGAGAACCACATCTCGTGGTCAACTTCCGTCGCGCAAATCCCCTCTTTCTCTCTCTTTTTTGCTTTTCTTTCACCGCTATTTTGTTTTCGTCGGAAAAGAAAGATACGGTGAATAAATAGACGGCGCGACAAGAAAGAAAATAAGCGGAGAAATAAGAGGTGAATGGCAACAACAAGTTTTCGCGAGACAGAAATCCGTGTGTCTCTTCGTTGTTTTCGCGCTCTTGCAAAACATGTCCTTCCATTCGAGATCAATGCCAGATATATCCTCCACAAAGAAGTATAATTAAAGGAGTAAACGTATAATTCAAGTTAAAACCTTAAGGCGGCTTAATTAACTGATAGCATCTTGCCCGACGCTGACTTGTAGACTAAATTGTTTTGCATAACTTTTTCTCTCAACAAACAGCTTACATTCTCCAGCATACCTTATTTAGTCAATTCTGTCTTATATATATATACATATTGGATTTATCGATTTACATTTCCGCGGTGAAAAAAAAAATAGAAATACCTGTTCTATGAAGCAAGATTTACGGAAGCAACGAAGAATTCTTATTACCTTAGTCAGCAGCCTGAGATTATTTACCGCGTCATTAATCAGACGAGTTTTTCCTTCCAGCGAGAATTGTAAACCGCAAACAGATGCAATATGGAAATGGGTGTAAATCGTAAAAGAAGGTGTACGCGCTCGCGTTCTATCCGCGAAATGGCAGTCGATATTCAGGGAAGTCTATAAAATGAAATCGTTGCAGTTTCCGGATGCAGTTTGCGATCACTTCACGGTTCGAGTGCTCGCTACAAACATTGATCGTGGTTTACACGTATATCAAGTATATTCAAAACCATGTAATATATATTGCACAATTATTATGAAAAAAATCAGATGAGAAATCTAATCTCATTAATATCCACTCGAATATTTTATTTTTCAGATCACTAGTAATTTTTTTTTTTTTTTTCATATCAATGTATACCGATTTTTATCATCGGCAAAGAGATAATCGTGATATAATGCACAGATAAAAATGTATTTCGCGCGAAGATGAATGACGAAGCATTGTAATCCGTAATCGAACGCACTTCGACCCCCGGTAAAGCACTCAGATAAATGAATCCGGCGAGATTTTAGCCCCGTTAAAGTGTAGGATGGCCTTGCTTGCGTAGAGGCCACGTAACGTAGTCCTCCTCTTCCGCGACGCTTTTATATCTCGCGGTTTACTGGCAATCGCCATTCGCGGGCTTTACAATGTGTCTGGTTTACGGGCCCTCAACCGTCTCAACGAGTGTCTTCTTTCCGTTTCTCGCGTTATACATACAGCTCTTCTCCTTTTCTGTCTCTGTCGTTTACGATATAGGTCACATCTCCGTGAAACGCATTCGAGACTGCGACTCACTGCGTGAGCAGCGCGCATAAAGACGACGGTGATGTAAAAACGAATCCAATGTAAAAGCGAAATGGCTGTCTACTATGGCGATGCAACGCGAGTATACTAAATAAGATCGGTGAACGAGAGTGATCTCGCAACTTATTCCGATGAGCCGAGATCTTTTTCCTTCCTTAAGTCTTCTGGCTCCTCGCTGTTGGAATTGTGACGTCAGAGGCGAAAAAACGCACGCTAAAAATTCTTAGATGCCGTTTCGAAATAAAAAGATATTTCGATGGCTTTAGCACACTCTTAAAATACCTCGAAAACTAGTCTTTTCTCTTTATAATTAATCAACAGCTGTAAAATGACTGTCATATGAGTTGCAGTTTATCTGGTCTGATATCACGATCATTTTACGGTGGTTGATTAATTGTCAAAGGAAAAATATAGTTTTCGAGGCATTTTAAGAGAGTGTGCTAAAGTCATCTCAAATAGTGTTTCATCGAAATATTTTTTCATTTAAAAATAGCATTAAGAATTTTCAATGTGTGCTTTCTCACCTCTGACGTTACAATCTAACATAGCTGCGGTGAGGATCCAGCAGGAGCCAGGAAAATTAAAAGCTCGAGAGTAAACTGAATTTAATTCTTTTATTTTATTTATAAATGTCGAATATAGAAGAGAAATATTGAATTGGATATTTTGTAAATAAACCAAGCTTTCACACACAGGCTAATTTTATGTAACGAGAGAAAGAAAGAGAAAAGAGAAGAGGGGGGAGAGAAAAAAATGCAAGTGATAATTATAATATTGTCGATATGTAATTTAAATTATACTTAATTTACTTGAAACGAGTCAAATAATTGCCTTTACACAGAAAGAATTTTGTTTCAGAATTTACCCTCAAAATCATGATAATCGTGAGACAATATGGTATTGAAACAATTTTATAAGAGTTTGTCTGATTAATATTTACCACAATAAAAAATATTAATATGTACATAATAAAATTAATCGAACATATTTTATATCTTATTGTGGTAGATTATATATATTAATCAAACAAATTCTTATAAATTTCTTCCAATATTGTTCCATGATTATCACAATTGCCATGATTTTCAGGGTAAATTTTAAGAGAAAATTCTCTCTGTGTAGTTTTTAAATATATGACATTTCCATCGCGCGGGCGACATAAACTTGGTCCAGAATTTATTTTAAGAGCAATATATTCTTGCGTTTCATGCGTCCTACCATTGCATTTAATTGCATTAAAAAAAATATTAGTCCCAATGAACGTCTACAAGCTACATAATGTACAAGGTATATCCCACCGTCCGAAAGTGGCAGTGTTTTACGAGCAAAACCTAGCGGGAAACATTACGTCTGATGAACGCAAGGCTGAACGTTTGTGTTAAAGGAATTCTTACCAAAGAGAAAAAAACGAAAGGTTTCGTGGAGGGCAGCAAAACAGTAAAATACCAGATGATGAAGACAGATACGAGCAAGATGTAGTAATCCGTTAAATACGGTACAACTTCGACGTGTTATATATACATATATACATAAATTAAAATACGAGTCTCCTATATTTTGATGATTAAATTTTCCAATATAAATATATGTTCTTGTATTCCTGCAGCTTTCTTTCAATCTTGCTATCGTTGATTTAAAAGAAAATCAGAGATTAGAGAGGGAGAAAGAGAGATCCATGAGAAGCACGCTACGTAGAAAATACAGTCTGCGTCTAACAACGACGATGCTTTACGAGCAAAAAGCGCAAGCGGCTCTCTATATCTAGCGGAAGCAACGGTTAGAGCGGCGGGGACAAATTTGACAAAAAAAAGATTGACGGGGGAAGAGACTGCTGGGACAACAGGGACGAGCAAATGGGTGGTGGTAGTGGTGGTGAGGCGACAGTGGACAGAAGTACAGACGAGAGAAAATAACAGTCCCCTTATCCCACCCTTTAATCCTTTTACGCGCACAAGCACCACCGCCGACTGTATGCAATTGGGCATACGATGCGTCTAGACAAAATAATGATTTGGATTTCAATACATTTGCATTCATTACCCCGGGGCACCTCTCTCGCCCCCGGCGCGATCTCTTCTTTCCGCCATTCCGCATTTCGCAGAGTTACGCTCGTTATCATACGAATGCTCTGCTCCGGTACCGCCGGTGCTCGTTTCGTTCGCAATGCGTCGAAATGCGACACGAACGGACGGGCAACCCGGGACTCGGATCGTCCACGATGCGGGATGCGGCACGACCAAAGGGAAGAAAAGGGAGAGATTACGGATTTCCCGCGACCGTCCGGCTAATGAGTCGAGCGGGTGTGTGTATGTGCCTATGTATGGTGTGTGTCTGCTCCTCTTCTCTTTATTTTTTCATGTTATTTTTTGAACAGCGAGTCTAGTCCGGATCATGTTCAAATAGAAGTACTTGGTATTTTAGAGACTCGCAGAATAACGATCGCGACTCCTATCTATCTTTTCTTTATGGTAAATTGTTATATAATATTCGAGCTATTCATCTATACTCTTTTGTGTTAATAATTAATTCTACGACAAACTTTTGTTCTGACAAATTTTTGTCGTAATTTAAAATTTGATTATTATTCAAAAACTAAAATTGTTTTAAAAAATTAAGAAAAAATGACTCACGGGTTCCGTTATTCCGTCGCCTTCTTTGCCTAAAGAATGACCTTCGGACCAGCCCATTTTTGAAAGCATTTGGAATCCTTTGTTATCCTTTGCAATCGATCTAATCGAATAAATATCTTCGTTAGAACTTTGGAATATATTTGTACGGATTACCTCTTTATCTAAATACATATTATAATACTTACGTATGAACAGAACTCTGTTTTGTTTTATCACAAGGATGCGAAGAACCTACATGCTGTCTCCTGGCTTGCGCTCGGTCTTGATAACCCGGAGCTAATTCACTATTAGACACATTATCCTTTGCACATCCAAACATATGTTTCAGACGTCGTAATTCTTCTTTATGCTGTTTCTTCATGGGAATTTTATTTTCGTCGACATTGATATTTTGTTGCACAAGACCCGGCTCGCAATGACCGCACGTTTCGTTTCCGTTATGAATGTGACATAATAGTTTCGTTCCGCCAATTTTAAAACTGAGGCATGCGTTATTTCATGAGCTTCGGATTCCTGCTTAGCTACTGACAATCTCTTGCCATTTAAAAATGTACCATTTCTCGAACCAGAATCTATTATATGATACTGTTTCTTGGTTTCATCATATATGAAACGTGCGTGATGCTGTAAGTAAATATATACATATAATATGTATTATTATATTATATATAATATAATACACACATACATACATATATATATATATATATATATATATATATAACAAAATATAATGATATTAATATATATTATATATACCTTGCTAACATTTATATCCGATATTAGTACTGAATGATCTCCTTCTCGACCTAATGAACCTCCTGTATATGTCACGACAAAAAGAGAACCCACTTTAATTTTGGCAAATCTGTTTCCTTAACAATAATCCTCATACATGGTGGGTAGTTTTTCGCTAAATCTGAAATAAAACAATTTTAAATGCAATTTTATTATATACATCAAAGACAAACTTTTTTCTTAACTTTATATATATATAATAAAATTAATTGTAAAAATGAGATGTATATATTAAATTCTCATTAAATATAAAATTGATCTTAGAGTATTTTTTGTAACAATTTTATCTTTATGTCATTTTTACAATTCAACTTTTCAACAATAGTTCAATAAAAAAAAAAATAAAAACAATTTTATTAAGATCTTAATATTATAATTATATAATAGTTTATCAAGCCACGGAAGACATTTCTTTTTAGATTTTACGATAAATTTTTATTTGATAAAATTAGCAACAGTAAAATTCAACAAAATTTCCGTGGCTCACAAACGCTCTTACAAGAACAATCATATAAAATTATATTAATATTTAAAAACTAATGCTATAATAAAGTAAACAAGAATATATATTGTAATAATCAAATGTAAAAGTTGTTAAAATTTATATTATTAATCTTTAGTGTGTGTGTGTGTGTTTTATAACAAAATTGTTATAAAATAATAAAATAATAAAACTGAAAAAGTTAAAACCTGTTTCTTCTTCATAGTCATTTTCACTATTAGTAGATATATCGGAAGTAATTTCATCAGAAAGATCATCATTCTCGCTTTCTGAACATTCACCCTCTTCAGGCTCTTCGGATGTTTCTTCTTCATTTGTAATTTTTCGTTTTTTTACATCATCCTAAAAAGAGACATGTATACATATAAGTGTAATATAGTTACCTAAGGCTTGTTGTCTGTATCTTTCGATTGTTATATCTGACATGCTCTTTGTTAATTTATCTATTTCATCTGAAACCTATAAATAAAAATAGCATCAAATATTTTCTTGCAAAACTGAACACTGGCACATACACAAAATTAAATTTGTAAATTGCAATTGTAACCTTATGTGTTTTTCCAGTCTTTTGTTCTTCTTTTTTTGGAGAAACAGGAGGTTGCATATTAATAACTTTATTTTCACAAATTTGTACTTGACTGTGAAATTGGTACGTATTACTAGCTTCATCATAGTAGTAATATGTCCCAGTATTTCCATCATAATACAGACCTTGGCTCTATAAAATAACATTATTTTTGTAAATTGGTGTTTATATTTTTAGGCTATAAAAAATAATACATCTATACTATAATATATAAAGTGTTAATATTTATAAGTAAAGTGTACAATATAAAATACATACCGTATCATAATAATATCCAGTATTGTAATCATAATACATTCCTGATGTTTCCTCATAAACAAAACCATTCTGTAATAAGGCTGATTCTGCTACTTGCTTTACTTGATCTACTATACTAGATGATTTAACATCATTGTTAATATTCCAATCTTGCGATAATGATTTATCAGGATTAAGTATTGATTTATCAAAATCTGTTTGAGTCGCACAATGTACATATGTTTTTACAGAAAGTAAGTTTTGATGTTTCTGTAACAGATAATATTGTAATTTATGTTAAGAATGTTTAAAAACCTATATTCATATTTATACATATATATATATATATATATATATATATATGTGGCAAATATAAAGTTTATATAATCAAATATTAATATATAATATTATGAATATTTTATCAAAACTATATACTTGTCCATTGAGTTTATTGCGTAGTTTATTAATTTTCTTCCGCTGTCTTTTAATATGGTTACGCAGTTTATATACAAATGCTAACACATGGGGTAAATTACATAATCTTCTGTAAAATCTTCTTCAAAGTCTGATATAATTTCTCCTTCCTCACTTTCGCTTTGCATCTCACACACATCCATACTTTGTTTACTAAAAGCACAATATATATGTGTATTGTACCAATAAAATGAAATTTCACGGTTTTATTATAGAAAAAGGAAAAAAATTAAAATATATTTACACTTGCTTGAACTTAATTATTTCGCTAAATTTATGTAATAATATTTAGCATAACAGTTGACGCAAAACACTTGAAAACAGTAATGTCAAATTATTATTTTGTGGCTATATATTCAGCTATATTTATATATATATTCTCTGATCAGAAAATTATTCTTGAAGTGAGTTCTTGAAGTCTCCGCTAGATGGCGTTTGGAGATCTTCCAAGCAGGTTTGAGTTTCTGCTAAACAGGGTTTGAATCCTGGCTTAACAGTTTGACAGTTCAATTTTCAATCTTCAATCAATAATTATTATATAATTAATGAACTTTACTATAATTACTATAATTGATTAGATGATGATTTAACAATAATTTGTGAAATAATTGTGTTTTTAAATTGCACTTGTGTTTTTAAATTGACTTTTTTCTTTTATGCAGTGCTGACATCTGGAAACAGCTGTTCGGTAACACCCCTTACGCCCCCAATCGTCTATGACCATCATAGTCGCTCCCAGGTTGATGTAGCCGTCGAAAATGACATTTGTTAGATGAAAGAGATTAAAGTGTGCCTATACAAGTACCGCTCGTTCGAACCAAAATCAGGAGCAAGGACAAGTTAAAGTTCATACTTTTTCCCCATGTCTGTTCTCCGAAATGCCGACCGTGTAATTTTGTAATACGCGAATGTTCTCCTACGCCTCTTGTCTTGTTGCAAGTGGCACTCAGCGGTTTATTAAAACTTCGTTCAAACTTGTACGATTGCAGCCACAAGAAATGAAACAATGATGCCGATAAAGGACAATCAAGATGTGGCATGCTTTTTAGTTACCAAGCATTCTACATGGAAGGGGAAGTAAGTGTGTTTATCTTAATAAACGGCTTCCTTATGTGTAAATGAATTTTTAATTTGTTTCAACAAGATTTTGAAACATATAAATATCTAATACATTAAATAAATTTGTAATAGTTTGATGTACATATACTACTTTTATATTGGGCGCAAAATATTAGAGCTTTTGATATAAGAATATTTCCTTGGGTTTATGTAATAAAATCTTTAACAATACTGTGCTTTTCTCTTTTTTAATATTAATATCATTATGTTTATATTCATAAATAATATATTTTTAGGTACAAACGTATCTTCTCCATTGGCACCATGGGAATAACAACATACAATCCTGGCACATTAGAAGTTACAAACAAATGGGAGTATTCCGATTTCATAAATGTGCAGCCAATAAATAGAAGTCAATTAGGTTCCCACGAATTTACCATAACTGTGCGTAAGGATCGAAAGAATGATACCATGAAGTTTAGTTCCGAACATAGATCGCACTTGCTAACAGAAGCACTTAAATACAGAAATCAGTTTGAAAAATCCAAAGAAACCTTGGTGAGTTTATGTGTTTTATTCTTTCTCTCTTTCTCTCTTCTCTACATTTTATTAGTTTTTTTATACAATAAAACATGTTTATCATTACAATTTTAAATTATATAATAAAACAATGTTACAGATATAACATTAATAAAATAACTTTATATTTATAGAGATATCAAGCTTACAAACATCATTGGTCTGATACAAGATTACCCATTGTATTAGAAATAACACCATACAGTCTAGATCAATTGGATCCTGCAACAAACATGGTATTAGCTAGCTATTGTTATAAAGATTTCGAAGGGCTTTTGACAATGAAAGATTATCCCAATGGTTTTGTCATTGTATGTGGTGGGTTTGGTCGTCTACATCTTTTTGCTTCTATACATATGGAAGAGATAAAGAAAAAGTTGCAGGAAGCTGCATTAAATAATTTAGGCATTAATATAAAAATGTTAAAGGAGCCTATAAAACTCGATGACTTTATTGCTCAAAGATTAGGAAAGTTTAGCGGCGATGAGCATATAACGAGTGTTTCGGAATTTACTGTACACAAAATATCCTCCAGGCATTTGGATCCACAAAGAAGAACGCTTTGTCTATCAGACACCTGCCTGTTGGAAAGAGATCCTCAAACGTACAACATTTGTACTCTTAGGCCATTATCAGACATTTTTACCTTGATTCGTGATAACGATAATCCTCAACTGTTTACTATACAATACCTTAATGGTCAAACGCGCAGTTATACTGCAACAAATAGAGATTCCTTATTAGCATCTCTATTAGACGGTGTAAGAGCATCCGGTAATAGAGATGTCCATGTGAAGATGTATCCTATAGCCAGAGGTAAAAGACTCGGACCTTTCAATCTACCTGTTGATGAAGAGGTTGAAACGACGCACGTTAAATTTCTTCAACAACCACTTGGGGGACGTACATTTGCTGAAATTCTGGAGAGATTTAATGCAAATATACCATACAGTGGTCTTAATTACTCCATTACTCAAGATGTAAGATAAAACATTTCTCTGTTCGATATATATTAGATTATAAATAAGAAAATGTATTTGAATATTTATGCATATATAAGAACTTATACAGTACATTGAAGCGGTTAAGGTACATTAATCGAGTCAGTTGAAATATTTTTGAAACTTTATAATGAAGAATTGTAAGTACTTTTTAGCTCTTATAAAGTCTGCATGTATATAAATAATATATAAAAATTATAAAGTTTCAAAAATAGAAATATTTACATTAATATATAGATCATACATATCAAGAAACACATGAGATACATTTTCTGTTTATCCAGGAAGTTGTACCGCTTGAATGGACTGTAACAACGTTACAACTCCAAGTACATCGTATCACAAATGATTACTTACAGGGAATCTTTACTGAAAACAAAGACAAGATTATCCTTGGAGCTTTGAATACTTTAATCAGCAAAGATTTGGAGACAAACAGTGAGATTGAGGCACAATTTCATGCGTTACGAAGACTAGTGGCTAGTAAAATCGGCTTTGCTGCATTTACAACACTTCCTGGTTTTAGAGAAGCTGTTGGTACAAAAGTCGTAAAAGCTTTAAAGAAACAAAATTCTGGTGTAACGCAAGCTGCCATAGATTGTATTTGTGCTCTGATGCAGCCGATGCATGATGATTGTGATTTAAGACAAGAACAACTGAACAAAAGTAGCTTGCTCAGCAGTAATAAATTTTTAGAAAGTTTACTTGAAATGTGGGTTAATCACATTGTAAGTATTCAAAATTACACATTCAATGTTAGATATTTATTTTTATATTCAAAAGATTATGTCTAAAGTTACTTGAAAATCTTTCATGTGGATGCTTTATATGACTTGTGTAATTGCTCAAACTTAGAGTGTAATTGCAGACACTTTGTGTCTGATTATGAATGATTTTATGATATATATTTTTTCATCATCAAGATACTTAAGCATATTTATCTTGACACGAATTCTACATGCTTTATTTAATGAAAAAGACTTGAATAAACTTGAAGTGAAAAAGTTCTTCCTGTAATTATATTCAAAATTTCTTTATAAAATATAAATGCAATATATATAAAAATATGTATTACACTATAACATATTGATTACTTCAATAAAGCTTATATCTCAATATTACAGAATCATGGCACAGGTGCACTGGTAGTCTCTGCTATGCTCGATCTTTTGACATTCGCCCTGTGTGTACCATACAGTGAAACGACTGATGGGAAACATTTTGACAATCTTTTAGAAATGGTTGCTACAAGAGGCAGATCTTTGTTTAAATTATTTCAACATCCTTCACTGGCTGTGGTTAAAGGTGCTGGATTGATAATGCGAGCAATTATTGAAGAAGGTGCACCAGAAGTAGCAGCAAAAATGCAAGAACTGGCACTTGCGGAAGGAGCTCTACCAAGACATCTGTTAAATAGTTTATTTACTGTTGGTAGTGATAGTAGACTGTTAACGCATCGACAATTGTGCCGACATCTAGTAGGATTATGGATCACGGGACATCCCACAGCTATGGGATTATTGAAACGAATTATGGTGAGTCGATTATATTAGTCTTTAAATTTTATATATATACATATATATATATATAATATTGACACTGCACTCTATAGAATATAATAATATATACAATAAGATATACTTATTCATAACATGTCGAAATTATTAATAACATGAAATTATTGTTTTATTTGTAGCCAGTTGGTTTGTTGAATTATTTGGATTCTGATGAAAAAGTACCAGAGTCATTCCTTGAAGAAGAGAGATTAAACAACCGTGACAATTTAAAGATAGCAATAGACCATGCATCTAGAAATAAAAAAAGTCCACAATGGATTGCTATCGAACGTCAGATGCGAGTAGTTGAGAAACATGTAGAAAATGCTCTGCAGCATTGGGGCGCTCGTATCGGAATAGAGCGAAGAGAAAAAATTAAAGAACGTCCGATAGTATTGAGAAAACGTAGAGAACGAATTAAATCTGAAGCAAATTGGAAATTATTCTATTATAAATTTAATCAAGATCACGCACTGCCAAACTTGATTTGGAATCATAAAACAAGAGAAGAGTTGAGAATAGCTCTGGAAAATGAGATACGTGCATTTACTTCGGATAAAGACTTGGCTGGTGGAACTTTGATCGCGTGGAATCATAGAGAATTTGAAGTGCAATATCAATGTCTCTCGGATGAAGTTAAAATTGGAGATTACTACTTGAGGCTTTTATTAGAAAAAGATAGTCCAGACAGCCCGATAAGAAAATCGTAAGTACATATCTACATTTGTTTTACATACATCTAATGAAAATCAATAATCGTTAATACATATGGATGGAATCAATTTACCAACTTTGAATCCAAGAATTACTGTACAGTAAAAGTATATTCATGATAAAAAAATAAATATTTATATGATATATAATTATTACATATAAAATAATATATAACTTGTTTGTATCGATAATTTGTAATAGTAGATTTTTAAATTACAGATACGAGTTTTTTAATGATTTATACCATAGATTCTTATTGACTGCGAAAATCGAAATGAAGTGCCTTTGCTTGCAAGCAATGACGATAGTGTACGGTCGATATTACGAGGACATTGGTCCATTCTCAGATACAAAATATATCCTGGGAATGTTGGAGCGCTGTTTAGATAGAACGGAACGCGATAGGCTAGTTATGTTCATAAATAAGCTCATTTTGCATAGACGAAATGTCAAAGATATAATGGATCAAAACGGAG